TTGCAAAGCATTTACAGTGCTTGGTTGCTGCAATTTCTTTTGCACAGGAATTGCCTTGGGGGTTGCAGGGCTTGTGGCAAGACCAGCAGCTAGTATTCTTGAGGTTACCGGAAAAACTACAGAGAGTACCAGAAATCCAAGTCGGCTACACCAAATGGGACCACAACGCTATAGGGTCCGGCTGCCTAGGCCTTTAAGTAGAGAACTTCCTCTGAGGCCTCACTCTCTGGAAGAAGCTGTTGGAACTTCAGTTCCTATGGAGGCTTGAGTCTCAAGAATGAAGTGTTAGCGATCTGCAAATCACTTAAACAAGCCGGTAAATCCGTTGTTGTCACCGAGAGACTCTTGTTGATTGTTAGCTCTTCCAGTTTGGTAGACTTAGCAAAGCCTGAATTTCGAGGTGTTCCCATTGATCCAGAGTGGTTAGTAGAGTCAGAAATTAGTTTGGTATGGACATGTTCTGCATCGAAGTAATATCATGTAAAGAGGAGCACTTGCGATAGTACAGGGGAGATTCCAATATCAAGATACAATATCAGGCACGCAGATTAGCTTGATTATTAAATGAATTACTATTTCCTTCAAGGACTTGATCAAATCATGTGCTCCTTTCTGCCCTAGGTTTGATTTTGGAAAGACAGCTGGCTGCGGTTGTCTGATCGATTGTTATCTCCTTGGATACCATTGATGTCCTAAGAAGACAAAATCTTATTTTGTCACTCTCTGCCGTTCTGCTTTGAAATGAAACACTAACTTATAACTCTTTATGATGTGGCCTTGCGAGTAGTACAAGAATAACCTTCTAATTTTTTTGGGAAAAAGAACTTCAAGCCAGCTTTTTTTATTATTCCTATATTGATTTATGTGTATAATATCAAGAATGGTTATTATTTATTTATGGGTTTTGCACGTATTGATCTCTGCATAACTTAAAATTTTTTGATTGATACTTTAAGTTTTTTTTTTTTTTTTTTTTTTTCTAATCTAATTTAAGAGTTCTACACTCTTAATATGTTATGTAAGTACACTCGACAAACTCTAGTCAATAACGAACTTATCACGTATCATGGTGAATCCAAATTGAATTATTGAATTAGTGATGTGTCAAGCTATCATTGACTAGAGATTGTCGCGTGTGCTTAAGTGGAAAGTCGTCATTGGCTAAGACTCGAAATAACAATAATATAAAAATAGAATTCTTAAATTGGATAAAAAAAAATTTATAATTTCAATCAAAAAATCCGAATTGTAAATAATCTCAATATGCGTAATGAAATAAAAGAAAGAAAAAGTAGCTGGAAGGAAAAATTTCTTACACTTTATTAATGTGAACTTGATGGGTATATATACAAGTTTGTAAAAAGAATATGTCAATAACTAATTCTAGATATCCCTAACTAATCTTATGATTAGAAGAATTAATTTTGTAATTAGTTACAGCTGTGCAAAACCAACTAAGTAACGAGAAAAGGGAAAGGTGCCATGCTTCACAAGTGCAGCAGCAAAGATGCAGGTGCAGGTTTGAACAAGTTCCGCAAGTGCATACTCCGATGCTTCACAGATGCAGCATCGGGAATGCAGGTACAATCGATGACTTCCAATAATACGTAAAACCCATTTATTTATTTGTATAATATCAAGAATGGTTGAGGTATGTCTTATTTCTTTAATTTTTTTTAGTTTAATTCTTAGGGTCAGCATTTGAAAATTATTATTATTTGTGAAAACTCTAATAATGTGCAATAAGCTTGATTTTCAATCATGTGGGAAGATTCAAAATCAATCAACGTCATGATCGTGGATTTGATCTAAAAGGCCGTACCTCAACTAATGCATATGGAAGTTTTCAAAATTTCAAAGCATGTTTTAAAATGATGGGAATTCCACCATTAATTACCAAGTCCAAGAAGAAAAAAGCAAAGAAAAAAAAAGTTTGACATTAACTATGTTGCGTGACACACACTATGAGAAAGACATTAATTTAAATTTGATGCTACAAACAATTCTTATATCCATAAATTTTCTATCTATTTCCCGTGATTCGAGACCTAACTAATATGAATTTTTTTTTTATATTATCATTTCGATTTCGAATCTAAAAAAGAGATAGTTAGAAAATAGTACATGAAATCTATTCCAATAATAATAATAAAAAAAATTGAATGCTGAGTTTAATTTATTGTGTGTTCACACAAGCCTCATGTGCTATGCCTTGGCTTTGGTTCCCTTTATAAATCGGCTCATTATCTGTAAAGAGAAATGTCATAATTAATGAGAATCAAGAATGGTTTGGCATCAAAAGAAAAGGACAAGTTCTGGCAACTTGGTTTTCAATATAATTTGTTACGTAAGGGGAGAGTTGCATAATTTTATATTGTAGGGAAGTTTCTATACAACTTGGTCAAAATGAACTCTATCACAACAGGTTAAAAAAAAATGTCATTTTAAGAAATCCTCACTGCGCAGTAATCCCTCAACTTTTAGTGTTATTTCAAATTAGTCTTTGAAGTTTTGAAAACATGCAATTCTATCAACTTTTAGTGTTATTTCAGATTAGTCTTTTAGTGCTGCATATCTCATTTTATTAATGAATTTGATGGGAGCCTCCAAAAACTGTAATTGTTTTGCAAACTCCAATTTGACAAAGTGAAAAAAAAAAAAAAAATCTCTTCGACTAATATACAACCCCCCCCCCCCCCCAACCAAAAAAAAAAAAAAAAAAGATAATTGATGCACTTTTTTTTTTTTAACAATTGAAAAAAATGTCTAAATGGGCCAAAACCTTTCCTAAATTTTTTAGTTTATTTAAAATCAATTTTTGAATTTTTAATTTCTGGTTAGCCTTTCTTGAATTTTTTTATTTTTTATTTTTTATTTTTTAAGATTTAGCTCATCCCCAACTATCACCCCCTCTAAAAATTTTAATTCCTGGTATTTTGAAAATGAAATTTTACATACACGTTGAAAAACATTCAATACATTTTCTAAAAAGAATTATCAAGAATTTTTTAAGATCAAAAAGTATATTGTTTTATTTTCTTAACATTAAAAGCATAGAATATATTAAAAAAAATAGAAAATAATCCGAAATGATTTCAATTTTTTTTTCTTAAAGAGCCCCATATAAATTTTATTGAATAATTTTCACTATAAATTTATTTATGCAACTATTATTTTTTACAAAAATCTAAAGTGTGGACTAAATCTAAAAAAAAAATTTTTAAGGGAGATGAAACCGAAATTAAAGATTTAGAGACTGATTTTCAAATAGATTAAAATCCATGAGAGATTTGACCTATTTAACAACAATAATAATACATTTAACTAGCTTCAACTTGTAATGCTCTCAACTCCACAGAAAGTAGGTTATGCCCTCCTCCCCCTCCCCAAGCCCCCCTCCTCCGGAAAAGGAGGGGGAAAAAACACAGCAACCATGGCAATTCATATTTCGTAGTTGTTGACGAAATGTGACAAACGTTGTGGTATTGGTTTGAAATAAACAAAAGAAAGTTGGGGTGGTTTGGTTAGCAGTTATCCTAATTTGAATTATGTCATAGGTAACTAACAGTACATTATTATTTTTTTGTGCTCTTACTTTGTCTTTTTGTGTCCAACACGATCAATAATTCGCATGAGTTGTTAGTTGTGGCTTTTGTTCTTTGACAATTACTATGATTCATTTTATAGTTTCACATGCTGAGAGTTTTCATCATTAATTAATTAAGCAAAGGATTTGAGAGATCCAATGCATAAGACATCCAATGTTAATGTAATCCAGTTAGGAATTAGGTATGGACTCCATGAAAGTGACAATCATAGAAACAGAGAGTGTGGCACTGAGGTACCAATTGGCTTTTAGTGGTGGTCAATAATAGAGCAAGTGAGGGGGAAACGAGCAATGAAAGGAAAAAGGAGCTTTAATTCATAGAAGACATAAAGCAAGATGCCATGTAGGGTCAAATCCTAATCAGATAAGGAGCAAGATAATATATATATATATATATATATATTGTAAATGATGTAATGATTCTGTTTAAAATTTGATGGAAGAAAGATTTAATCTTTATACATCAAAATAGGTTGGAAACATAGGAAAGATTCAAATTACGTAAGTAGTTGAAAAAAATAATTACAATTTATCATAATAGTAAAATAATGATCATACACGACATATAATGTCGAATAACAATAAAATGATGTTTAAAACTATTATATAACGACTATTACATTATGTTTACGATCATTATTTAAATCTATTGTTGAAAACACTCTTATCACTAATTTTTTTTACCAATAAAAAGATTAAAAAAAAAAAAGCTTTGTCGAAGGAAATGTAGAAAGATTTAAATAAGTAGTTGAAAAAAATGATTATGATTTATTGTAATAATAATATAATGATCGTAATCGTTATACAATAAAAAAATGTTTAAAACCGTTATATAATATCTATTACGTAATGTTGTGATCATTATTAAAACTATTGTTGACTATTTTTTTTTTAAAAAAAAAAAGGACAAAAGGGCATTGTCAGAGGGAAAAGGATTTTTTTTTTCCTAGTCACCGGATATCAAATTTTAGATTTGTTAAAAATAAATACAATTTTTTATAAATTTTATTGTCTTGATGTTAATACCAGGTTATAAGAGTGATTTTAATCTCAATGTGCGAAAGGGATCTATGATTATGATAACCATCATATTAAAAAAACAAAAGAAATAAATAAAGACAGAAAGTAACAAAGTCCATGCACATTGCTTTAAAAGATATCGAAATCCCAACTCTTGCTTTTAATTTTCTTTATAGTAAATTATTGAACCGCGTAGGAAAGTTCCTCTTCACATATTATACAATTCAAACAACTTCGTTTTGAAAAATAAATAAAAAACGGTTGGATTCTAAACTTTTATTTTCTTGAGGCGCCATCATCTCTTCTTGGCGTTGGCTGGTATGCAATAGCTATAGGTAGATATCAAAGAAGCGGCAGCAACCAAACCATTTTCATGGATCTTCAAGCAAATATTGTTACCTTCATTTCTTTCCTATCTTTCCTGATTCTCACCCTCTCTCAAGCTCAAAATTTGCCACCGTTTCACCAAGAATATGGTCCATTTAACGAAACTTATTATAACATCTTTGATGTAGAAAGCCCTGCCACAATCAGCAACAAAGCCCTTCAGATTACTCCAGATTCTATCAATGGCAACTTCACTCTAGCAAACCGGTCTGGTCGCGTGTTGCTCAATAGGTCCTTTATGCTCTGGGAAGATGATGGGATTAGTGCAGCAAAAGTGGCGTCTTTCAATAGTTCTTTTCTTATTAACATCTTTCGAGTCAACGACTCCATACCTGGAGAAGGGTTTGCCTTTCTCATAGCTCCAGACCTTGTACTGCCGGAGAATAGCAATGGGAAGTATCTTGGTTTAACAAACTCTACTACCGACCGCAATCCGGCCAATGGCATAGTTGCCATTGAGCTTGATACTGTCAAGCAGGAATTTGATCCTGATGATAATCACATGGGTCTTAACATCCACAGTGTCATTTCTCAAAAGACCGTTTCCCTTGCCGACTTGGGCATTGAAATTGCCCCTGTGGGTGGCAGGAATCATATGGTTTGGGTTCAATATGATGGGAACAGTAAAAGCATGGAAGTGTTTATGGCTGAGGAAGGAAAGGGCAAGCCTGCCAGGCCGACTCTGACCGCGGAACTTAACCTCCAGGAACTCGTCCGACAGAATTCTTACTTCGGTTTTGCTGCATCCACTGGAAGCAATTTCCAGCTCAACTGTGTCCTTAATTGGAACCTGACAGTAGAGATGCTATCTGAGCCGATTTCAAATGGTAGTGGTAGCAATAAGAAGGTGATAAAGATCTATATAGGAGTTGGGGTTGCTCTATTTTCATTGCTCCTCATTGGGGTAGGAAGTTTGGTCTACTATCTTCACAAGAAGAAGGCAGCATCGAATCCTAATCTGTTAGGTGCCCTTAAGAGCTTGCCTGGAACGCCGAGGGAGTTCTCATTCCAAGATCTGAAGAAGGCCACCAATAATTTCGATGAGAAGCATAAACTTGGTCAAGGTGGTTATGGTGTGGTCTACAAAGGTGTGCTGTCAAAAGAGAACATCCAAATTGCTGTCAAGAAATTCTCTAGAGACAACATCAAGGGTCAGGATGATTTCTTATCTGAACTTACTATCATTAACCGTCTCCGCCATAAACATCTTGTCCGGTTACTTGGTAAGTCTCCTCTCCAGCTATATTTCACATCTACCTCTCTTTTTTCTCCATTTACATTTTACCTAATATCCATACAAGGTAAATGCTTATCATGTCATCTTCTTTGTCCCGATTAATGAAATCTATGCTTATCATGTCATCTTTGTCCTGATTAATATTTTTTTACATCTTTGAACGACAATAACAACAAGGTTTTTGCAAATTACAAGGTTTTCTCTAGATTTGTAGTTTACAGTAGCCAAGTTCCAAGAAGGAATCTTAGCACATGCCTGGTGCCAAACGTTGTCTTACAACTTGGCAAGTGCCTGGTTTCGGAGTTTGGAAGGGCCCAAAACTTCAAATGTGTAAAAAAAATTTCTCTTACATTTTGCATGTTAGATATGTTACAGTGGTTAATTTCAAGTATAGCAGTCTATGAGCTGTTGGGGTAACTCTCCAGAATTTTGGGGATACCAGTCAAGGGAATATATGGGCAAAAGTTTTCTACAGTAGAAATCCATGTATTGATTGTTGGCAGGTGATTATCCTGGTTATTAAACTTTTTTGCTTTTTTTTTCTTTTATAACTTTTAACTTTTAATTATTGGTTTCTTTTCTTTTCTTTTAAAATTCTTTTCACGTTCTTTTTTCAAGTGGACCACACTTCTGAAAGAAAAAGCTGCCGATAGCTATCTAATTTAAATATGTCGCTAACATCCAAAGAAATGCTCACGTGAGCATGATCCGACATCCTTTTTTGGAATAAAAAGAAAGCAAAGATTTTGCTTGAAAATTTGAAATGGTAGAAATTGGTGTAGAATGTCTCTTTCATGGGTTACATAGCAAATTTTGCGCTAAATCTTCAACGCAGCAGTCTTACTGCGCAATCTATGCTCACATTTCAGTAAAACGTGGATCTTAATTAAAATGGTTTCTGATGAAATCTTGACGTTGATTGACTAGGCTGGTGCCACAAGAATGGAATGTTGCTTCTAGTGTATGACTACATGCCAAATGGGAGCTTGGACGCTCACATATTCCATGAGGCTGAGGAGAATACCATCCTAGAGTGGAACTTAAGGTACAGGATCATATCAGGTGTTGCATCAGCTCTGCACTACCTCCATAACGAATATGATCAAACAGTGGTGCATCGCGACCTCAAGGCCAGTAACATCATGCTGGATTCTGAGTTCAATGCTCGGTTAGGCGATTTCGGCCTGGCACGCGCATTGGAGAATGAGAAGACCTCCTATGCTGAGCTAGAGGGAGTGCCTGGAACCATAGGCTACATTGCACCAGAATGCTTCCACACCGGCAAGGCCACCCGCGAGTCCGATGTCTATGGCTTCGGCGCAGTGGTTCTAGAGTTAGTGTGTGGCCAGCGGCCATGGACCAAGATTGGAGGCTTCCAATTCTTGGCGGACTGGGTTTGGTCTCTACATCGCGAAGGGCATATCCTGGAGGCTGTGGATGAAAGGCTGAAAAATGACTATGTTTCTGAGGAAGCAGAAAGGCTGCTGCTACTTGGACTAGCTTGCTCCCATCCTATTGCCAGCGAAAGGCCTAAAACACAGGCCATCTTTCAGATTGTATCAGGATCAGTGCCGGTGCCGCGCGTGCCGCCTTTCAAGCCAGCATTCGTTTGGCCTGCTGCCGTCGGGAGCATTGACTTCGACACTAATTCAGCGGATACTACTCCCATTACATCTGGTTGGACCCCTCAATACATCAGCAGGGAAAGTATTGTTGCTGGAGAATACACAGACTCTCCTGTAAGTCCTGTCTAGCTGCTGCCAAGTTCCTTTTTAAATTCATCCTTGCCCTTTTTTTTTTTTCCTTCTTTATTCTCTAATTAAATTTCTTGGCAACAAAAGGAAAGCATCTAAGATTTTCCATATTGCAAATTACTTGTTCTTTTTACCTCTTTCAATTCGATTTACCTTTTCTCTGTCATTGTTGGGAGTGGGAACTGAGTTGTGTATATGTTCTTTAATCCCCAGAATGGTACAAGTTTTGTTTCTCTCTTACCTCCACCGATGTTTTGTGGATAATCAAGCTGCATTGGCTTTCTCCTTTTCTTCTTTTTGTTTGAAGTGATCAATAGAGATCCAAAGCGATTCAATCACACAAGTCAATGTTTGAATAGTCAAGTTATACGAAGCCAATTCTGACCACTAAAGATTGCATGTTGGCAAAGAAAACAAAGTCAAAGCATCTAAACCAGACACTAAGTCTTAAACATTTAAGTTTTGAACTCAAACTTGCTGACAGTAATTACACTTCGGTTCTTTCTAACATGGCTAAAAAATTAATTTAGAACTTAGTGGAATATAATGACGAGAAGGCCACAATTGTTAAAGGCACAGGAAAAAAATGAAAATACCACCAAAAAAGATCAATGAGTTATTTGCAACAGATGGTAAAAAAATTAAAAAAAAAAAAAAAGAACCTTTGAAAAGAATAGTGTCGAACATAATAATTCCTTTGCGCGACAAAAATAGCTAATTACCTGAAATAATCGGCTGTTAAGGTTAACAGTCGGGAATTCCTCGGTAATTTGTCAGGTTGTTGCAAAATAATCCGCGAGGAATAGGCATGGATGCAGAAATTGATCCGAGAGTGCCAAATAATCGGCAAATGCACAGCAGCATGATGAAAGCTCGAATTTACTAGCGAAATAATTGCAAATAAATAAGAAACATTACTCTTTAAACGGCAGTTATCTGAGAAAAAATCGTCAATTAATCATGAGCATAAAAACTCAGCAACGAATTTCAGATTCATATAGAATTACTCGGAAATTGATCAGGAAGCAATCGGCGCATGGTTTAACCACTCGGGAACTAATCGCAAATAAATCGGGAGTGCCAAAATCGGCTATGGTTTTTCAATTAAAATGGAATTACAGGGAAATTATTGGGATTTTAATAGTCGAACAAATCGGCATTTAAGGAAAACAATCGGCGCACAGTTTGAAATGCTCCGAAAATAATCGGCGCCTTTTTTCAATTAATTGGCTGGTAAGGATTTGGGAATTAATCGGAAGAAGCAATGGGCCAAAAAAGAAAGGTATCGAGGCTGCAGGCCCTTGTTCTGCGGCCTTAATCGTCCATGAAGTTAAAATGAAAATGAATTTTAAAATAAAGTAAAAGAGGGTGCTATACATACGAGGGGAGTTCATGTGTTCAACCTTAAGTAAATTAATTAATTCTTGACAAATCCCAAGTTACCTATGAAGAAATTATGATCCTAATTATGTAGAACGGTAAGATATAAATTCATCATTTTTATAAATTTTAGAGTTTTATGTTTTTTTTTATACATAATTTGATTAAAAAAAAAAACATTAATTCATTCGTATCTTTGAAAGAATATTGAGGAGTAGAAAAAATATAAAGAATAGTTTCTCTCACTCCACTTCTTTCTTAATGATGAAAAAAAAAATGATAGCTTTTAGTTTTCTTTTATTATTTTTATTGTCATTAGATGTAGAGACAATGATTTCTTTCTTTTTTTTTTTTTTTTATAACATTAGCTACAGTTTTTCATCAAGACTTGACATGATTGACAACAACATATCATTATTAATATCATGTTTTATAATTAATTGGATAATACCTTTACCTATCCTTATATAACGAGTCATGTTCTTAAATCCAAAAACGCCTCATATATATATTCTTGTTATTTGAATTGATTCTTAGTTTATTCTTCTGATCAAAATTTTCAATCAATTTGTTATAAATTAATTTTCATATTAGTATATATAGATCACTTGTGTCAAAAGATAAAGATAGTTTTGTCAAATCACCTACTTAATTTGAATAAAAAAATTTAACTAAAAAAATATATTAGAAATCAGCACGGATAAAAAAAAGATGCATTATAAGCATTTTTTGATTTAGAGACAGATTAAAAATTTGACCTATTTTATAAATATATGTGAAGGTATTAAACCTAATAATTCGAAACATTTTAAATATCTTGTATCGTAATTACCATCATGTATTATAATTATTTAGATATACTTTAAACATTATGTACCATAAGCTATAATCATAGTTTTAAATAATGATCTGTTACATTATATAATAACCGTTATTTAATGGTTTTAAAGCATTCGATTACCGTTATTTTAGTATTACAGCAAGCCTCAATTCATGATGACAACTATGATTGTTTTTTCAACCGTCCACGATTTAAAACTATGGCTATAATTAATCTTACAACCTATCACATTTATTACAAAGGACTTCAAACTGATAATTTCTTATAATAGACATCACCTTAGAAAGAAAAGCAACAAAATTAGAGCTCAATCAATCCAGAAATGAACATGATGGGAAACGACTTTGTACTTCACTACTTCAGCAAGGGTTTGTAAAATTTCTAATGTGCACATCTCACCTCCCTTCTCTGCTATGCCATAAAGAGAACCAGCAACTCAATATTCTATGCATTTCTGCAAAATAAGTGAAACCATAACGCATTCAAGTCTTGAAGTCATATAGAATCAAAAGAATGTAAGCACATTTAACCTGAAGTTAGTATGCTGCTATGTTGCTTCGACCCTTCGTTTTGTCTAAGATTACCTGTATCGGACACTGGATAGGACATGGATATGGTTACTTCGACACTCCATTACATGGAAAAAACGAACTACAATTTTTGAAAAAAATAGCCGAATCGGATATGGATATGAATGTCTGATATACACCGGTATTGGATATGGATCCCAGTACCTAGCAACATAGGTATACTGTGGTCTTTTCTAACACAGCTAAACCAATTCTTCTTCAGAACTTTTCAGACTTCAGACAGAAAGAAACCCTGCACATGTTTAGGCTACCATTTTTAGAATGCTCAGTAGATCAAATCGGTAGTCCATGTTAGAAGCTAATAAGAACATTGTATGATGCTGAACATTACTTTCTTGTTTCTAAAATTGTTGAGACAACAATCTCCCTACTTTCTGTTCAAAAACAAGAACATAAAAACTTGCAATATTTGGTGAATGAGGCATCCTTTTGTTAGTTAGTTTATTAGAAATAGCAATCTTCTTACATTGTTTAGGTAATGTCAGAATCTAAGTGATTCCTTCTTTACCAAACTATAAAGGTAAAACTAGAGTGATAGGCTTTCTCATTTATTTTGGATTCCTTGGCAAGTGCAGCTGTGCTTCAAGCTACATAAAGCTTGCTAAATTTTTTAGGACTGGATACGTTTAAGTTCAAGGGCTTCACCAGCCTGCAATTTTGTGGTAAGTCTCAGCTTTCTATAATCTTCATAAGTGAAAGGGACGTAGAGCCGCGGGTGTTCGGAGTCCACAAGTTCCGGCGGAGCTTCCACCTCCTCCTTCGGACCCAACAGGAATGAAGCAATTGAAATCCGAATTGTGGCTTCCTTGCATTGCACTCGATGTTGCACGTTACGAAGCCTTCCATTGCTCCATGCCTTTGTAAATTCAACAAGCAGTTAACCAAGCATCAACACCATCTCTAGCAGCTTAAAAACTAAGAAGGCAATTTACTACTAATTAAGGTAAGCCAAAAACAGGAACTCTATAAGTACCGTAGCCATGTCTCCAAGATTGACCAGGAGGGTGCCTGGTGCCGGATCAGCTGCTACAAACACACCAGACGGGTTCATCACTTCAAGTCCACCAACATTTTCATCATCTTGAAGGATGGTCAGGAACCCAGAATCTGTATGTATTTGGACTCCAGAGGAGCCTATAGTTTCAGGGGTGAAGTTGTACTTGTTGATCCTGAATTGGCAAATCCATTTCTCAAACAAATCACCACTCAACCCCATACATTCAGCCAACTTTTGAGCTATATCCTTGGCCGCCTCATGGATTGCCTTAGCATACATCCCTATAATCTCTCTGGTAACAACAATTCCAAATAAAGACTAGGATATCGGTGTGAGAAAATGACTTTCAGAAACCAAGTCCAGATGAGTAAGAATTTGCTATTGAAACTCTAGTAGCCAGAAATTTGCAAATATTCTAAAAATCTAAGTTCAGAATAAGGAGCAATTGGTCTCAATTCAGACAGACCTACAAGATAACCCAAAGGTAAGTGGAACTGGCTTGTCAATAGTAACATTATAATACATCTCTCTCTGTGATAAGGGTTTTGCATGAGTTATAACCATGTATAATCTGCTGATCCTAAGGATTTTCTATTATAACAGCGATCTTCTTTTGCTGGTGTCAGAAAAAAATTCAAAGCAAAAGATTGCAGAATGCTTTCTCCGGTAATAATGATGATAGTTCTCATTTTACATTCCAACAGTCAATTTTCTTATTGAAAACAGAAAAATTTAAGAAACTTGAACGAAAATGAAGTGAAAAGCAATACAAATTCAGAGAAAAGAAAAACTTCTACCTTTGGTAAGGAGTGGCATCCAATTGGGAGCAGAAAGTTTCCACAGCTTCTGAAGACCCCATATCATAAAGTCCCAAAGCCTCATAAAGAGGGTTGACTTTGCTTGGTGCCATGTAGCCACTCCCAGCTATGACATCTATGTTGCGCTTTTTGACATCAGAGGGCAGGTCTAACAATGATCTCACAACCATCTTCATATCTGCCATGAGAGACAAAGAGATATTGTGATTCACAAGCCTGAAACAACCCCAATCCACGCATGTTTTCCTCAGTTTCTCATACTGTCCTGGAAACTGGTGCAGATCTATTGTTGGGACGCCATTCTCACCCATCTTTACTTGTGATTATTTTGTTTCATTTCTTGAGTCTAACCTTGAAATATATAGAGACCCTTTAATCGTTTTAGGAAGTTGTGTTAGAACACGGCATGGATGCTTATATGCTTAGAACTATGGCTTTACTTTGTTTAGACAGACATCATGTGGACAGACTTTACGTTTTGTTCCCGACAAATGCGAGAAGGCTAGGGAAAATGTTCATATAAAACAAAACAGTATGACATCTTTATGCTTGACTGGTGAGATGCAAAGAACAGCCTGCATTGGCTAGAGTAGAAAAAATTGTCATCAAAAACTTTATCTGGAAAGATGAGTTGGAATTTAATCTTATCTTTCTACATGTAGACCAACAAAGAAATAATGGTGCAAAAAGATGGAAATATATTGGAGTTCATAGCACACAAATGCCATTCATAAAGGTGTACTGCTCATTTAGTTTCGGATGGACATCAATGTCATGATTCTGTCATAACCCCAGTTTTTAACTCCTAAAAAAAATTCAAAAAATCACACAAAAGAATTCAAAATTTTGAAAAAATTACAAGTTGCACAATTTTCATGATTATTGTTATTATTATTATTATTTTGAAGTATTTTGATAATTTGTTATGATTTAAAACATAGTGGTATTTTCCCTCATTTTTTAGGGTTGTTGAAAATAGCCAAAAAAAAAAAAAAACAAACAAGAAGGAAATTGAAAAAAAAAAAAAAGGAAGGTTAGAAGAAAAGGAAAAAAAAAGCCTAAAGAAAAAACGACAAAAAGATCAGGACAAAAAAGAAAGAAATTAAAAAAATAAAGAATGAGTGCTGAAAATGGAAAATTAAAAGCCACATGAGTGCAATGAAAAGAAAATCAAAAGAAGAGGGACCGAAAATAAACAAAAAAAGACAAAAGAATAAGATAAGAAAAGCACAAGGGCACAATTGAAATAATTAAAAAGAATGAGGACTTAAGAGATTAGAAGGAAGTAAAAGAAAAATGTTGATTAGGGATGCAATAAAAAAGAATTGAAAAGACTAAGAATCAAATAAAAAAAGAAGAATGAAAAAAAGGCCAAGGATCAAAGTGAAAAAGTCAAAGCAATTGAGGGACCGAAAAAAGTTAATTAATCCATTTTGATGGAATGATGGAAGGGACAGAAATATGTTCAGCAAAGGCAAAAAGGATGTTGTTTTCCCTTTTACTTGGCCCTATTTATTGTCTTCTCCAAATTGAGGCAATTTTTGCGCTCTCTCTCTCTCTCTCTTTCCAAATTCTTTTTCTTCCCACAAAACAGGTTCCAAAACCCCTCTTTTCCTTACATAACATATCCCAAAACATGCCAAAAAAAAAATACAGCCTTTTTTTTCCCTCTCCCTCACACACTTATATTAATGACATAAAACAACTACACTTCTAATACCAGGTTTAATTCAAGGATTGAGATGCAAAGGTGAAAAATTGGAGATCCTAGGAAGGGGGAAAAAAAGAAGAAGAAGCAAAACATAAAGAAAAAGAAAAAAAAACTTTATTTCTTTTCTATATAAAGCAGCCCTTGGTTGGGCAGGAAAAAAGAGATTTTTTTTAGAGGTTTGCGCTCAGAAAAGGGAAAGAAAAACAAGGAAAACACAAAGCATAAAGCTTGAGTTTGGTTGGTTTAGTTTAGTTTTTGTTTTTTATGATCTGGCCAAGTTTTGGCATCCTTTAATCATGGTTTAAGCATGCTTTAAGTATAAAATTTGAAGTTTTAATTGACGTAAAAGAAGAGTTTGATTGGCTATTTAGTTTGACTTAACTATTATTTAGATAAGACTATCAATCTTTCGATTTGAAAACTAGTTGTCATAATCGAAGAAAACTTATAGAAAATGATTTTGCGTATTTTGTTTTTTTTTTAAAGTTTGACAATTTTATTTTATTTTATTTTAGTTCTCTTTTCTTTTTCTTTTAATAATTTAATATAAAAAAACACTTTCAATTACATTCCTTGTTTTAGTACAATAAGGGTTAAATTGAAAGGATTAAAAATTTCTCTTTTGAAATTATCTTTTGTTTATATTCCAATCCATTTTATTTCATTTCAATCCTTAACTTTGTCGTTTCTTTTTATTTTAATAGTTTAATTTAAAAGATTCTTGCAATTATTTGTTTAATTTTATTATAATAAGGATTAAATTGAAAGAAGCAATTAAACATTTCTTTTTTCATGTTGTCTTTTGTCTACATTTTAGTACTTATATTTGTTGCATTTTTCTTTGTGATGCTGTGATTTTTTATAGTTCTCAATTGTATCCTTATTTTTAGATAATATGGACTTATTCATTAAAAAAAAAAATGAATGTTATTTTTATCCATTTAAATAAGTTTAGTGCCTGATTTGTTAAGAGAGTTTATTTTTAATGACTTAACGGAATTCTATAGTCAGTTTGAGTAAACTAGAATACAATATCAATTATGTTTATTTTTCATACGCATATTTGCCTTCAAATCATATTTATTAATCAACTTTTTGTTTAACATGCCCTGGTTTGCCATGACAATCTAGCAAGAAATTCATGTCGGGACTTTAATCGGTTTAAATTAACGATACTTCTAATCTTAGGATCCAACAGTAATTTAATAAAATTTCACAACAAACTTTAATTATCTTAGTACATCTTAGTTTGTCATGATGTTCTTGATACATATTTATGCCAAGTTTATCATCAATTTCGACATTAAATTTAACGAGACTTTAATTTTAGAGCTCCGTAATAATTTAATGAAATACCAAGACTTTAATAGCATGTTCAAAACATTACCTCATTATTAAATGTGAATAAATAATTTTTCAAGTTAGTTCTATATCCACGATGATTTGGTTTAGTAATAAACTCAAAAATAGATTTTAGAAATTAGTATCATAAATAATTGTTTTTAGAAAATGAATTAGTAACAAAAAAATTAAATAACCTTTCTTTTTTTAAAAAAAAAAAGCAAAAAGAGTTTAGATCACTATCATCTTTGTTTAAATATAACCAACTCCTTACTCATTTCTTTAAAACCAATGTGATTTTAGGTTTTTTCAATTTCTTTATAGTTTAAAACCAACATAATTTTAGGTTTCTCAATTCCTTTAAAGTATTAAGTGACGATTCTACATTTTTAACTCTTTGTAATATGAACAAGACAATCAATTCGGACAATCCAAGAAAGATGAACTGAATGAAAGGGTAGCAAGTACATCGAAGTAGGCAGGACAGGATTGCATTATCATGCTCCATCACAAGACCGTAACCTGTCTCTGCTTAAGTTCATCAAATTATATATATATATATATATATATCAAATGAATGATTTACGACGCAGGTAATCAGTAAAAAAAAAATGTGAAGCAACCATCAGTTGCAGAGACATGATGGGACTGTCAAGACAAATTTACTTGAAGGAAACATGGGAAGGACCTGTACCACATCCAAGCAGATTTTAAGCATAAGAAGACATTTTGGATTAATGAGCTAAATTATCAACTCATGTTGATAAGCATAAGAGCAAGTATTATATACAAACAATTCAGACTATACAAATCAAATCCTTTTTAAGAAAAATTACAACCTCTTCAGCCTCAGTATGGTATTAGTTAGAGATCATTGGAACCCACCAATTGCTTAGTTAATCTCCAGAGTCATCCGTGTGGTTGAAGTTGCTACAAATCTAATGAAAAAAATCTACAAAACCAACGGAGCTCATAGGTGAAATTTCACCCCAAGGAACAAGATACTCTACATCGAATGACGACCATCCGTCTTCTCCTTCACCAGTCTTTGTTCTTGAATCTCTTCAAGATCATCATCATCCCCTCTCTTACCTGCCTGCTCTTTCCAATATGCAACCAATTTTTTCAGCCGAGCAACTTCTTTTGACGAAACATTTTTGCTTGGGTCATTAACAATTGATCGAACTCTAGATGCATACCTGAAATGGCAGAAAGTTGAGATACCAAGAAGGGCAAACACAAATATAAGAAACTGGAAGAGATTTAATGAGACAACTTGTAGTCATCATTTAATTCTATAATCTTAAAACCAACCATTACTTATCTTGGATAAGACATCTCACATATTAAGAATCACAAAATGACCTAACAAAAGAAGTATAGATATGCTATGAATGTTTTGAAGACAGAAACGTACATTAGAGAATTGTACGACTCGTCCAAATTTGATTCAGCTGGAGATACATTCACGAACATAAGCGTCTTGGCATTACCACCCAGGGAATCGCTCATTAACATGGTTAACTTGTGGTTCCTATAAGGTATGTGTTGACCACCAGAAGATAAAGCACTAATGACATCCCCAAGGGCTGAAAGTGATTTATTGATGCTTTGAGCTTCCTTAAGTTGACTACCAGTAGAGCCTGACTTCTTCACTCTTTCTGAACCAGCAAGGTCCACAAAACTTAACTGCACATGATAGAGGGAGGTGATCAGACACATAACCAACTAAATAAAACTTCGACTCAGAATAACATCACAAGTGAGTCTCACACTACATGTTATTACATTTCTCGATTCAGCTATGAGCATGGGTCTTCACATTACATAAAAAAAAAAAAAAAAAAACAAATGGCAAGTAAATGCACATGTACATTATGTTTCTGACACCAATCATTCAATGCATGGAAGCATCTTATAATTTGATCAAGGATAACTAGATAGAAACCTTTCCCCTTGCAACAGACTGAGTTTGAAGGTTGGTGCTTTCAATAACAATTGAAAGTATCAGATGAGACCTAGAACTCTCTTCATTCATTTGAGTCCCGGATGTATGCCGCTGATCAGATCCTCTCTGAATAATGCTTTGTAATTCTTCAAATGAAGTAATGGATACAACTGTCACATTTTCTACAGAAACCATACCCTGAGCATCATATAATACATAATACATGAGGTCCAAGTGATGAAAATAATGTCTAGACAAGATCTAGAATAACAAATAATACTTTAAATACCACTGCTAATAACAGTTTGCGAAATGGCAATCACCTTTGTATCTTTTTTAATATCCAATTTTAAGCGCTTAATATTCTTTGGTAATAGAAGGTCCACAAGTGTATCTTGATACAACTCCACCATATATGCCTGCATCATTTTAAAAAATACTATCAGATGTTTGATAAAAATAATGAGTGCATTTCATACACATCTTTGTGGGCGGGGTTCGAATTGATTTTAGATGCCCCATAAAGATAACGGTAACATATTACATCCAATTATGCAAATGCACACGGGCAAACGTGCATGCAAAGATGGACACAACAATCAACATAGATAAGCCAGTGAACAGCTGATGTTGATTATAAAATTTCTTATATGCACTAGATGAATGAAGTATAAAGAATCTGGCTACTGAAAATTTTGTGCCACCATGGAGAATATGAATAAGCTGCCATCTGTCATTACCCAATAATTGACATTAAAACCAACATACCTTTAATGAAAATGAGAATTTGTTGTTATCACGTCTTAAAATTTTAAAAAGTTCTGAAGTGGCCCGTGGTGTCAGTCCAGGATTGCCCTCAGAGCCATAAATGGTAAATGTCTTCCCAGAACCAGTTTGACCATAGGCAAATATGCAAACATTATACCCATCAACAGCAGATTGAACTAAATACTGCATCACAATTGCCAGAAAGAAAGAATGGATTAAGAGTTGGCTGAATAATAACAAAGTTACAAGGTTCCCTCCAGCTTAAAAATTATTAGAACTATAATTAAATTCAAACTCACTCGTGTATCCTCAAACACATCTTCCTGAGTAGAATTGCCATCAAACACTCGATCATACATATGTTGTTTTGCTTTATCGTCTTTCCATGGATGTTCAACTGTAAATTCATCTATGCTTGTAAGCAGGCCTCTATCCTTTTCAGAAATCTCTTTCTCACTTAGAGGTCTCAACCGACAGAAAACTCTGATCTTGCCTTTCATATCTGAAAAGTACCAAAGGAAACGACTTCATTAGCTTTACGGTAATGGGAAATTTAGTTTTCATGCAGGATTCATAATAAAGTTTGAAAAAGGTTAAAGAAGGCTGATGCATTAGGTATTTAGGTCTGTGAAAGTGGTGCAGCTTTGGATGAAAACTTGTGGCTACTGCCTCTCCCTTAACCTCCTTTTCTCAAAATAATCTCAAATCCCTCATTCTTCCCTCCTCTCTATTATATTTTCCATTTTTCTTCCTAGCCTCCTAGATGCTTAGAGTCAATGACTGCTGATCGTCAAGCTCTCTCTTACTGCTTTCCCTTTACAACAATCCCTTGCTAAAACTATCATATCAGTAAGTTACATCTTACCCTGGATCCCTATGCCAGTTTTGACATCTTTAACCTATCAAAAACTTTGTTAACAAAGGCTGCATGAACGAACCTGATGTCACTGTATTCTAAAAGTCAAATAATGATATTTTTTATGCTATTTGACAAGGTTCAAGACAACAAAAAAAGCCAGTTATTAGCTATTTACTTTCCTTCCCTGGGTTTCTCCTACTCAATTGCTAGGGATTTCTAAAAATCCTTGGGTTGCATCATAAAGAGCAATAGAAGCAGGAGTGATATATTCTAATTCATTATTTTATATGCAGGTTAAGTGATTTTTGAATATGTGTAGGCATTAAGATACTATATTCAACACTATCCAACCTTCTATGGTATTAAAATAACGTTTCCGCAAAACTTGTTCTTCCTTATAAAGCACTTCTAGCTCAGCAAGTTGAGACGCTTGCATCTTCAAAATGGCAGCAGTCTGCTCATTCTTTCTGTCAATATCCTGAAGCACGTTACAAATTATAGATTGAGTTAAGCAAATATATAAGAAAAATTAACCAATTCATAAATATTTGCATAAGGTATAAGTATACACCAGAAATAAATCAAAAAAAAAAAAAACTAATGCAAAAGTGCAAATACCTCTTTCATTTCTCTCAATTCCTCTAATTCCTTCAAATTGTTCTGCAATGCAACCAAATCTGCATTCACATTTGCAAGAGTTGATTTGGAAATGGCCAAATCTTGTGTGACCATTTCCAGTTTCTGTTCGAGTTCAATCACTCGAAGCTTTAACGATTGGCGTTCCTGCTCAAGGTTTTTCTCAATATTTGCCATCTGCATTATAACCAACAGTGACAATAACCATTTAAAAGCAACAAATCACCAATTGATGGTTAACAAATCCAAGAACACATCACTACCTCTTCAACTTTCCTTTCGAGTCTAAAAATCTTCTGTTCGAGAAATACTTTTTCATTAGCCAATCTTTGCATCCTTCCTTCTGCTGCATGCAGTTCCTCGTTCTGCAGTTTCAAATCATCCTGGAGCTTATGTAACGCCTGTGTTATCCACAATCCAAAATGATTACTTCAACAAAAAAACAATATGATTCTATTGTATCAATGAGAGTAGAGTCCAGATCAGAAAACACAGTAACAAATTAAACACAAACCCAGAGCATAATAGTCATATTTTCAGAATTCTACCTGGTTATTAGATCCGACTATATCATTTTTGGCATTTTTCTCTAGTGCGATGTTACTGAGTTTGGCCATCCTTGTTTCCATGCTCCTCTTTTCTGACAATGCAGCCTAAACATAAAATAAAAATTAGAAATATAGACGTGGTGATTAAAGAATGAGCTGGTGCCTCAGAGTTAATAATACTAACTTGAAGAGCTGCATCCTTTTCAGCAAACAGTGACTTAAGTCTATCACGATCACACTCTACTTCTGCCAAGTTTTGCTTCTCTGATCTCAAGGAATCTTTCAAGCCCTCCAATTGCTCTTGCAATTTCACTTCTTGATTTTGCTTCTCATGCAATTCTTCCAATAACTAGATAAGCATATTTGATCCATTAATCTTAAGTGCCATTTCGAATATAATTACATACATAAAGAGAAAAAAATTCCGTTCCCAGAGAATCAGTCTCAAATCCAATATATAATGAAGCACTTATTGATGATCACATCACTTGAAAATCACTTATGGTGACAAAGCTAGCCTCTAAGTATGTTAGGTTCCAATATGGGCACGAATTGAAAATCATGTGCAAGATTTTACCTTAGAAGAAAATAATTTGGAGCTTCTCTACACTTAGTTGACAACTTAGCCCCAAAAATTAAACATGTCACAAAGTTAATTATGAAGCAGGACAAAGAACAAGATCAGATAGACACAACAAAAATCAAATCCTGCCAGAAGGAGAAGGACACAACAATAAATACATAGATTATATATAACAATTTCATACAGCATATCCCTTTTCTACAGTTATTTTTATTTAAAATATTTTTTAACATAGATAATTATTTCCAAATTAAACATGATTTTCATGCTTGAGCTATGTCCAAAATGGCTTCAAAATGCATCCAAGTTTCAAATTATACTTTTTCTCCCAATATCTAGAGCTTGTTCCCTACATGGCCAAGACATCCAGAAAGTTTGTTAGTTTTCACTGCGCATGTATGCCAGAAATGATCATAGAACTTTAAAAGTTTCATTTTAAGGCTTACTTGTTCAGCTTTCTTCTGAGATTCTTCAATAGTTTTCGACAATTCCTGTAAACGTTTTTCATGCGATTCTACATTGGGGGGCTTAAAATTGTTAGAAACATCTCCATTCACTGAGCCGCTAGCAGCAGTCCGAGCTTTAGAATAGCGACGCAACATAACATCATTTATATGTGTTTGAAGAGCAACACAAATTTCTTCTCCCTGATTAACAAAGGAAGTTTGGTTACTCAAACAAATAGAGTTAAGAAGGATGGGAGTTCCAATTGTGGAGAACCAACAAATAGGGACGTGACAAATTTTCTAACCTGCTTGGTCTCAAACTGGAATATGTGCAGAACACCCGCAACCCTCATCTTGAAGAAAACAGCAGTATTACTACTACCAAACTGCATTATGTCTCTTAATTCTGCTGAATGTAAATATTCCTTTGGAACTGGACGGAAAAAATGCACCTGTGAACCAATCAACAAACAAATTAAGGTCCAGCAGATGCATGATCGGGAATTGGAAAAAGAATTTTACCATGTATAGTGCAGACAATTACGAAATTATTATAATATATATAAGCTTGTAATGGTAAAATCCATAAATTTAAGACTTACCCCTCTCTTGTTGATGCCCAAAATAATCCGTCCAGGCAAAAGTCCAATAGGATCGTCAATTTTGCGAACACTGAAGAATACTGAATTGCCATAAGGAAGCGACCTTAATATCCGCAGAAATTGCTGTCTTGCATCATCCTTAGTCAGATTTTCCTACATGGAAACAGTACAATATCAACAGAAGCTTTTCACTAGAGAATAGAGAACAGTATCTGACAGGTAAAATGCTGACATTCTAAAGAGTAGACTCAACAAAGATGGGTGGAATTGCTTAAGTAAAACAAATAGTAAATATATTGAGTGCAATTTTCATATCTTAGGTATAATATGCCACTACTTTGATTCCTTATTGAAGATAGCTCCTTGGATCTATTCAATTGAATCTTGCTAAAAGTGGCAAAAAGAGTATGTCAAAGTCATTAGGAACTTGGACTGATAAGTTTTTGTATTACATAATTGAAAGGGCATTAGTATATACCTCTGCCAACCACATCTATGACAAACATTACTTATGTGTACATAAAAGTGGAAGAAGAAATTAAACCATTAACAACACAATTTAAGATGTTTTCTCAAACTGAAATACTAAACAAACCTGCAAATGATGTAGAAATAAAAATATTTGTCTGTAAAACAAACTATGAAAATAATGTTCCATTTGATTAATATATAAAATCCTAGAAGCAACTTGTTTTAGGCGATCCATGATTACAATTCAGTAAGCACAAGTCATACAAGCAAGTTGTAAACATCAATTGAATTAACAGAATTCAAAGAAAACTAACATTTGAAACAAACATTCTTTCTTGAAAGTTATGAAGACAGAAGTTTCATATTTTAGTTTTTACCATCAAACGGTAACGAGAAAGAATATCCAACTCCCATTCCCTCTTTCCTCGTGTAATTGCAATTTGTCTGGGCAAAAATCGCTCAAGGAGAGAAGTCCAATCACTGCATAATGTTAGCCCCAACATGTCAAAACTCATAGGAATAAGGAGTAAATTGTATCAAAATCTGCTCACCATAAAGGCCTTAAACTAAGTCACTATGATTTAAAAATGAAAGACTGAAAAATCATTTTGAGTGTGGAAATTAAATGCTAGAATATAACTTGAATTAGACAAAGAGAAAGGGGAAGAAGAAACTACTAACACGGATGATTCAGGACTACCAAAAAATCCAATGTCAACCAATATTTGCAATGCAGACAATTGAGCAGCATCCTCCCTCCCAACAGGATAATTGCCCAATATATAGTCATGTTGCAACTGTAACAAGATAATCATGCATCAGTATAGCACAAAGCTAAAAGCTATGTAAACTTTAGAAATAGCATGATGATCATTCCAAACTTTAATTTGAAGTTACAGCTATTCAATAATGTTTTAGGAAGAGTTTACACACTTGAACATATGATAATTGCACAAACATTGGATCTGTTACAGCTTCATCTGACTCCCGAAATAGCTTTTTCTTAAATATCAGTTTGCAGTGCAAAATTTCTCCCTTACTTCGATCCTTAGCTGCCTTGAATTCGGCTAACAAATCTCCAATATATTTGTTATCATCTAACCCAATGTACTCCTCTGCATGACAACAGGGTGCACATTAGATGACAATTTCGATTGATCTTTATCTAAGAAAACAATCAAGAAGGCCCAAGGATACATACCATTCCCAGTATCAGGTGACTTGGAACCAGACACAACTTTACGGCATTCAAAAAGACTGAAGCTAGAAAATGCTGACAGCTTGATTATCCCAGCAAGTTCCTGAAACAGGTATGAATTACATTAATGTAATGCTTCAATCACTATACACAATAAATCATAAGGTTTTAAAATATATTTTGTTCTTTTCCCAGTTGAGATTGAGTTTCTTGTTTTTCTACATCTATGCCAACCTAGAAAGAACCATAGAAGATAGAGTTGATGACTCTTTAAAATACCTCAACAGCATCAGACACTGTCGTTGCCATGTCATATGTGATTTCTTCAAAAGTTTCATCCAGAAAAAACACTATTGTTGTAAGCTTTCTACCAGTTAGAAGAGCTTCAATTTCCTCACGTCCTGGTATTGTATTCCTAGGACCAGCTTTGACAGACCGCTTCAAAGCATTTAGTGTATTTAATGCAAGGATTTGGACCTCAGAATCAATACTTGCACCATATGCTACATTATGGACATACTCAGATAAATATCCACCAATGTCCTTGCTAGGAGGCATTGAAGAAGCACACAAGTACATTAGCTCCCATGCTTTAATCAAATATTGCCTGCAATATGAGAATTAACAAAGCTAGATGGCATCAAATGAGGAAATAAAAGAATTTTGAGGAGAAACAATTAGAGGCCCACATAAAATCAAACCTGTAAACCGAGTATCACAGTTTATATTTATAAGAAAGATTTATCCATTGGGAATCAGCTCAATTAATGAAAGGCCAGATAGGATGGGTTTTTAAATCATCACTTACAAGATACAGAAAAAAGAAAACAACTTACTGGTAGAAAGTAAAATAAAAATGATAAAGAAAGAAGCTATGCATGCCTGTCAGGGTTATTCCTTGTTTGCTTGGAAATCTGAGCAAAAATTTCATCTCGAAGTTCTGCACGCTTCAGTGTATGCTTGAACAATTTTCCAACTAGCTCAATCCGTTCATCTAAGCTTGCTGGAGCTACTCGATCCGATGAATCAACTCCCATGTACTTCAAAATTATCTGGAATAGTTTAGTAGCACGGCTTACCAGGTCACTGTTAATTTTAAGCAACGAAGTTGGTATGGGATCCTACAAAAAAGCACTAACTTAGTTCTTCATAGATTTATATATGACAACATAATATCACGACACGCAGCATACTTTTACCTTTTGGAAACACAGCATATCCTCAAATGTGAATTTTTCCCGAATGTGAGGACCAACAGATTTTTTAGAAAAGAACCCACGTTTCCCAGTGGATTGAATCTGTTTCTGCATTAACTTTAAGAATCCCTCAACCTGCATGGAACAAAAATCAAGTAGAAGTTCACAAAAAAGTATGTTACTGCAACAACTAAGCCTCATTTACAAAATAGATGGGATCAACCATAAGTGTCCTTTCGCAAAATTCAACTTGATCATAAACCAAATCCACACAAAAATGCAAATGAATATTGTCCAAAAAATAAAAATCATAAGTTTAATTTGGATTCAACTCATAATATTGAAACAAGTAAACATAAATGAGAAGTAGATGTTCTTCCACATATTAAATTAACAGCAAAAGAATTTTTTTTTTTTTTTTTTTTGGTTACCTGGAATTTATCAATTAATGCTATCGCACCAGCAAGTTCTTCCGGAATAGCCATTGAGAGGGTTGCTGGTGTACTGTGAAAAAAAAAACAATAAATACCACTTAGAGTTAGGGGTTAGATACAGTCTTGCAAAAGAAAGCATAAAAATTACTTCCCGTAAGTTCTAAAGCTATATAGTCAGTTTTTACAAGCAATATAGAGATTATCAAAAGCGAAGTACGTACTCCTATTACGAAGCAAACAAAAGAATGCACCAGGATAAAAGGGTAATAAGATTAAAAGCAAAGGCATAAAAAATTGGGCAGGCAAAACAAGTCGAAAACAATGCACCTGGGATGAAATGTTCATCAAGTCCTTTCCATTTAATCATTTTGAAAACTTTTGAAAAAAATCTAAAGATACAAGATCAAAAAATGAGACCCCATGGTTATGTCCAATGCTACTTTTAATCCGAGTTTCATAGAATCGCAACGGTAAACAAAGAAAGCAAATAAAAAACCAGCTACAAAAGTCACAAACAAGAAGCTGAGAATGGGATAGGAGACTTACGGCGTAGCGAAATTGGAGCCGTCGCTATCATATCCATCCCCATTTGAGAAAGAGGCAGAAGGGTGCATAGGAGTCTCTTCATTTCCATTAGTGGAGCTAAAAGAAGACCTAGTCGATCTTACACTTTGAGCCATTAATGACTGCACATCAAGTTTCATTTCCTAAACACGAATAATCCCGCTTTACATAACTAATAATCCCTTCCTCAAATGAACCAATTTTGACCATTCAGCTTCCCCAGCTATATTTCCTTAATAACAGCAAAAGACAAGCACTTTAAAGATCAAAACATTATCTTTAGCTAAGAGGGTATCCAAAAATACGATCCAAGAAGTCAACAAGATTCAAATTTCAATCAAGAAACACACACGCCCATCAATGTAGATCCAAATTACATTCTATCGTAAAACAACAAAAGAAACAAAACCCCGATGGGAAAACGGGAAAGAAGCGAGAAGAAGTGAAAAAGAACTAAAATTTATCAATCAAGAAATGCATACACAAAATGGGAGCCAAGAAAGAGTTCTTACCTTTTGAAGCTGACAATCAAGAAAGGAGGAAACCTTGAGAGATTAAGAGATCTGAAATGGTGATGGTGACAGTGTATTGATGGCAGTGATGGATAAAAGTGTGAAGGGAAAGAGACTGGATGGTAAGAGTCACGAGAATGATATAAATGGCAGAGAAGAGGAGAGAAGAGGAGGGGGCGGCAATGTCAATACAGCTGCTTTCTTCTTCTTCTGAACTTCTTTTTCTTTTATCCTCGTGTTCTGTTGTAGAGTACACAAATCAGCAGCTTCAAAATTCAAATCTATACATTTTTTGTTTTTTTTTTTTTTGAACAACAAATGTATTATCAATACTATATCCATCTATCTAACCAAATTTGAAAATCCTGGTATTTACTACAACATCTGTCTCCTACAAAATATGCAATTATACTATAATAATGTTCATTTAAAAAACCAATAATGTAAAAAACGAATGGATTTATTCTCTAACGTATGAAAACTTGTCCAAAATACTTTCATAACCCATTTCTTGTGATATACTTTCTGAATCCAATACCTGAAAAGATAGAATAGTCCCATAATCATATGGCCATGCCTTTAGTTGAATTTTCTGTTACCCTATAGAGATTTGTAGCAAAGATAACAACTTTATTTGTTTTTTTCTTTTTTTTTCATTTCATATGTAATACGATTTTCTGCAGCAAAATATATGAATCAGAAGCTCAACTTCTGTAGTGAGAATTGATTGTGTGATAAAATTTATGAAATTGAACTTGGATCACTTAGAATTTGAAAGGACAATGAATGGTTTTTTTTTTTCTTTTTACCCAAGTATTCACATTCCATATAATCATAAAATTTAACATTTTTGCATAAATAAAATTTTAAAATTCAAATCCTCATGTTATAAAAAATTCATCTTTATTATTGAACCAACAAATTATTGATTACAGTGAATAGATTCTTTAACTTGATAGTATTAAGTTAGCTATTTATTTGGGCTACTTGCACTCCCAATGACAAGAAAAAATGACAAGAAAATATATTTTCAGAATCGTTGAAAAAAATATTTAATTTTGATAAATTGATTCGAGAATATTCTTATTTTTCTATGAAAGAAAATATTTATATGATAAAAAGTAGAAATGCAAAGATTTATATGTGCAACTAAGTTAGGTTTGTGGAATTTTAAAGTTTTCCCCACTCCCCAAGAGTCCGCCCATTTTGTTTCAGGACAAGGTCCCCCCAAGATTTAGACTTGGCACCTTACGTGGACCCCATTTTCATGATCTTAGTTATCCTGCTTTTTTTATTGTTTCACATTTTTTAGATGTGAACCCCATTGCTTTTTGTTCGTGCTTTCTTGACAATAATTGACATAAACTAAGGTTTGGTTAAATTCATTTTTAATTAATTTTTTTTCATGGGCTGGTTGATTAGTTGAAGGGAAGAAGAACCACCAAGTGTAGTAGTAGTTCATTAGTAAGTAAATATTGATTTACAAGATAAGTTCAGAATTTTATTTTTTATGGTTAATATTTTTGAGAATTTATTCTCGAATATCCGAAGTCGTGTATTGAGAAATGTTTTTTAATCGCTTTTGAAAAAAAAATTAATCTAGAAAAACATAAAAACTAGATCGCATATGCTTTTATTATTAAACTTAAAAAAGAAAAAAAATCACAAATATCTCAATATTTCTTTTTTAGTTTTTTTTTCTTTATATGTACGACAAGAGATAATATTCTACGAATCGCCATCCTAGTAATGTTTATGAAATTCCCCATGCATCAAACACTACTAAATTAGTTTCTATTATGGTAATATAAGATACTTTACAAGTAGCTTAGTTTTGAGTTTTTAACTTTGCCAAACAATTGTCTTAAAAATAATTCAAATCGAAAACTTTTTTTTATTATATTTATTATATATAGAGAGATAGCAGGATATTTTCGTTTCAGATCTTTCATTGCTAGAATATGTTTAGATTTTGATCAATTATTAAGTTTTTTTAGAACAAACCAACTCAAGTATTTTATCATTAAAAAAATCATTATGATTAACTATTTGTGGATAATAAAAAATAAATCTTGATTTCGGCTAAATCAATGTACCTTTTTATCACTAAACTATAGAATTTAATCTCGATTAATATATAAATTAGCTTAAAAAAACCTTAACGTTAAAATAAAAGTTACTGCTGTAATTTATGTAGAACAATAAATTAGTACTGGTCCTAATAATTCCAAATCCCTACAAAAAAAATATTAAACATTTTCACATGATCCATGCACATGTCATTTGTACTATACGAAGAAATTTCAAATGGACCCAAATCTTTGTGTCCTTAGTACGTGGAGGCTTGGTCAGTCCCTTTGATCGTTTCAAAAAGGAATTATGGCCTAACAATTATCTTCAATCATTGCTTTATAGACACATCCACGTTTGTGCAAAATGACCCGTTAAAAGCAAAATTGCTGGATTGCCGGCCATGCCGGTTGCCGGCAATTTGCATACCAAAGTAAGGTAATGTATATTCATGGTACTTTTGTACTTAAGATTTGCATTAAGCTCCCATAATCTGCCATTTAGCTAAATCAGTTTGGGTTTGTACATTTCTAATCATTTTGTCCCTTTCAATAATCACGAAATTAAACGGGCCAACTAAAAAGTCTAACCACCAAGAACTACAATTGGAGGCAACTCGAAAGAGTATTACTCATATTGTGGCATTTAAGACAAACATGAGAAAATTGAGGAATGGAAAGTCAGCATTGTAAAAGCAAATACCAACCGTGTTGAAAGGATATCAAATGCATTTAATTATTGCTTTAGGTTTAGCTATCAATCCAGGAACCTTTTTTTTTTTTTTTTGGGTTTTTTTTTCACTTTCACACTCAAAAATGACATATTTACTACTTTTTTTTTTTTAAGTCAATGTTTTCGAGTTGGCTTTATATATCAAGATTAAATTGAGTAAATTATAAATTAGTCCATCTCGTTAAAAAAAAAAATTAATTAGTTTTCTTTTTTTTCAAAAACTAATTATTCATTTTTTGTGTTTTAATTCCGTCAACAGCGTTTCTTCTCGTTTAGAGAAACAAATTAATTATTATTATTATTTTGCATTTTAATTCTATCAACAATTTGATTTTTTCATTAGTTTTTGGTTAAATTAATGATTTTAGTTTTCAAATTATCATTTTTTTTTAATTTTTTGTTGAGTAGAGAGAAAAAGATTGGATGTAGGAGATAAATAAGATATTAAAGGAAGAGTAATTTGAAAAAAAAAAAATCATCAATCTAACAAAAAATTGATAAAAAGATTAAGTTAGTAACATAATTAAAACATAAAAGACTAAATAATTTTTTTTTTTAAAAAAAGACTAATTAATTTATTTTTCAAAACAAAAGAGATTAATTTATAATTTACTCAAATTAAATTCTTTTTTTTTTTGGTCAAATCTTAAATAAATCATTCAAGTTGTTATAACCAGTGCATTCATAAATAATTTCGTTTTTGGTTACTGTTTTTTACAGGTCAATGAGTTTTCGATATTTTTCATGTGCTAATATTAAATCTTTCTCCAATCAAATTTTAGGAAATTCATTCATATTATTTATTTATTTATTTTTTGTCATATTAAAATTTATACATTCACACACACACATATATATATTCTTCCAATCTCTTCTTCCATTCAATCTAAAAATAATAATGTAAAAAACAAACTCGTTTGTCATGGGAATCAACACCTTCGAAAGCAGGAAGTTAAAGTTTAAGAACATCATTCATTCTAACTACCATTTAATAATCCAAATCTAGTTGACATAGGACCATGTTTTGAACCGGGCCAACTTTGATGGAAGTGCCAAATACAGGACTGAACCTCTGAGAAGAGGCTGCCACGACCTCGTAGTCCTGCTTCAGTCTTCTAGAAATCAACTTTTCAGTTCACCAAAAGCAGCACATGGCAACAACTTGCCTTAGCTTTATCGTCAAGCATTTCAATCATTTTTCTTACCAGAATGGCATACAGCTTCAAGAATGATAATGCAGCCACACAACAAAAGGCAATTACAGTTCCTAGGAAAGTGATTGGGTCATCTTAAAGAAATTACAGCCTGCATCAAGCCTCCCATCATAATTTTAAATTACGGACGATTAAAATAACGATCATGACCGTCATCGCGGATCGCGACTTACTATAATACTAAAATAATAATAATAATAATATACACCGAAATCATTACATAACAATCATTATATAACATAACAACCGTTATTTAAAACTACGCTCCCCATTGCCCTTACTTTTTATCCTGGGATCCTTTACGGCCGCACTTTCATTGGTTTGTGCTGACCCCTGAAGTGTAATCCAGACAACAGTAAATCCACATTTTGTACCATAACATGCTGGGATTAGTAATATATCTTTGCCATACTTTCTACGATGCACTCACTATAATTCTGTACATGCAAGTACCAGCAGAGAAAAGGTTATGAATGCAAACCCTACCCATGTTAGCTGCTATTGACTAATTATGTCTAAGCAGGTCCAGGGAGGGCCGAAAAAGGTATGAATGCAGGGTCCAACTACAGTTGCCATTATCAAGTGAAAAATGAATTGAGTGATTCAATTTTGATGCCAAAGCTTATCATTTGATTGTGAGAACATCAACTAACTCCATCACTACCTTGAAACTAGCCATCTCAACTACATGAGTACATGACCAAACTCTCCACTACAAGCCACCACTAATGAAGAATATTTGACTTCTTAACAACCTTGGATTTCAGGGTAGCAGATAAAAAAGAGAATTAAATAAAACGATCAAAGAGTAACTGCTGAACAAGCAAAACTGTGTTGTATTTATGCAGGCAATAGAAGAAGATAATTTTATTAAAGAATAACGATTGCAAAGATTGCCAGCAAGACATATAGGACATCCTCCAAAATGAATAAAATGATTTAGAACATCAAACTACAGTGTTCCAGCCCCAATGAATCTCAGCAGAGACTCCTTTAATTGCCCCTGAAGATAAACAACATAAAGAAGCCACAAAAAAGTTGCTTTGAACATGGCATACTCCGTAAGATGGTATAATCATCCCCCTCCCATATACCTTTAAAAACATCAATGGCAGATCCTTCACCCTAGGTGAGGATGCCTATTACCCAGTAGTCACCGCAAATGATGAGAGCCTAGTCCAAACATACCATGACACTGTCAGAGGGAATGATTCTGTATCTGACCACAATTAAATTACATAACACAAGCATCAGGAGACAATGGTTAATGAGCTTTCCTCACTTCTTTCGAGACATTATGGTGGCCTTTTAAAAACCTTAGAGGGTACTTTGCACCTCGTCCTTCCAGATACAATTTTCTTGCAGGAAATGAGTAGGGATGGAGGTGTGAATAAGAAAAATTGTCACACCTTTCTATCCGCCCTCAAAGGGACACAAAACCTGAACTAACAAAGGAATGTCCTGTGAATCCCCCTCCCCAAACCAATTTAAATTTTTGAAAAAGATTCCAGGAAACATTACAAAAACAAAAGGAGTGAGTATCATTACCAAAAACTTTTTGAGCTGATCACCTGCATATCCCCTACCGCCACACATGCTTGATAGAAGAAATGCACTAAGAGGTTCTCTCCTCTTCAAGGTCCCCAGATTTTAGAGATTTTGCTTCATAGAACTTTTTACTTAAACTCCTTAAGCTCTCCATGGCAGTATGAATCTGATCTGAAATAATCATGTAGAGACATCTCTGCGCTGCTTCATCCAATCCATATGGGGAAAGGCTGGGCCATCCTTTGCTATTATTTGGCAAGTTACAAGACATTGAAATTGCCATTTGTCTCATTTTAGGAAAGTCAAATTTCATAGGCTCACCAATAACTATGTTGATTCTCTTATTACACAATGGAAAAGGAGGCCTTCTTCCAAACCAAAAATTCTCAGGCATCACCTGCAAGTTATAACCAATGATGTGAAATGAGCTGATGTTGGCTGCATTTATGTATAAACCAGAAAGTTACCCAGAAAAAAGATGATGTTGTATGATACTGGCCAACTAACTAGTTCTAATCAGTGACATCACTGAATGCATGAAGAAATGTTACAAGTAAAAGTCTAGTTTTCCAGAACTCAAGGAAAATGAGAATGCAATCCTCTTTCAATTGCATAGATGTTCAAATCACCTCTTCAAAACCTTTCAGTTCTATGAATATTGAAGAAAAGTTACCTCCTCAAAACCACGATGAACAATGGGCAGGACTATTGGAGTTATAGGGGAACGAACAATGAGACTAGCAGTTCCCCATTTCAGTCGTCTAATAGGGACATCTTCTTGAGACACTTTTCCTTCAGGAAATGTATGTAGCTGTTCATTAAAGGAATCAGAACAGTGAGGAAAATGTTGTTTCCTAATAAAAAAAATTCTAGTGATTGAACAAATCAAATAAATTATCAAAATGTCACCAGCAAACCTAAAATATCACCCAGATATAAGAAAGCCATCAAATCATGCGCCCCACCGTTCACAAGTCCATTACACCCTAAACTGTGCAGTATTTTTTGCCAGATCAACTCCAATTCAAAGCTTGAAATGTGAAAGCTCAACATCACTTTTTTGTTTTTTGAAGTTACTGGCTTGTACTTATAATAACTGAACTATATAGGTTATTGCCTGGATTTTTTTCAAACTTGATAGGAATGCACCAATGTATGAAAAACTGGACATTCACTAAGCAACAACATATTAAACGCTATGATATCATACATGACAAATTGACAACGGTAAGCCTAACATAATCTGTCTCAGTGCACCATTGACATTATGACAACAAACTTCATGTTTTCTCTGGCCCCATTCATCAGGAAAATGCAGAAGAATCCTCAAACTGCTTCAGACTAAGGAGGCTCACATAAGTTTCACAAAATTGGCCATTCATTCCCGATAGCTGCGAGAGAGGGAGGGTAGAAATGCAAGGAATTATGGTTTAGCAGCCTAGTGAGACCAGAACTTCATCAATACAATGAAGAAAGTGTGAACAATTTTAACTGATAACACAACTGCCTAGAGAGCTCATTAAGACATCAAAGAAGGTAATATATATACATCAAATATTTTATACACTATCCAAATTATGGTCTACTAGAAACTGATAAACAACCAGACCATTGAATCATCACAACAAATAATGGTACAGCATTTTAAGTAAATACCCATTCTCCACCACTCAACCGCTCAAGAGCTTCATTCATGTGCTCTTGATAGATTCCACCACCCCTTGTAATAGGTATACATTTCCCTGCACAATTTACCACTTCAGACCCAAAAGCGTACTAAGTACTAAAAGAGCATCACACCAATTACTCAAAAAACAAAAACTTATGTTGCAACCACAACCGAAGATAGAATAGAACATGGCCTATCCTATTTTAGCACTTTCAAGTGATATTATTTCAGCAGCAGCTCAGGTTTGAATCAATAACTGTAAAATAACTGGAACTGATTTTTTCATACACAGCTCAAATTTTAACAAAATGAAACAAAAAAAACTTCAGAACCAACAAAACAACAGAAAATTTAACACAAAAGCCAGTAAAGAAAAATTACCAACACGGAAAAAATAAGACAGCAATGGATTCTTGAAACAAATGTCTTCAGCTGCAAGTGCCCATCTAGCCAAATTTGGATCAAATATAGGAAACCTTTTGAACCCCCAAATCACTGGATCATCCAACCTGTTAAAAATAACAACAAACAGCTCTAAAAAACCAAACTTTTTCTTCATTGACAATCAAAGGACCAATCTTTACCGCCAAAACAAGCACTAAACAAACAATGAAAAGAAACCCAGAAAAGAAAAGGCAATAAAATGTGCATAAGTTACGTGGACATGTGATTGCTAACAGTGATAAGGGGTACCCCAGGGGGTCTAGATCGAACAAGATTGATCAGTGTATCAGCATTATGGACTGTAGTGGTGTTAAAAAGATTGCCAACTGCCTTTGCAAATGCCCCAACAGCCATAATCACCATCTTTCTTGGTAGTCCTCTCATGTGGTTCCCTCTTGCAGCCCACTCCATTGTTCGAGTCATTTTTTCCTTGCCGTGTTAGCTGTGGCGGTCAGCATTTGGTTGCTGAAATTTCTTATCTGAAAATAAGAATAGACAAGATCTTGGGCCTATAATTTGGGCTCTCCATGTTTACTCTAGGGCTGTTACATGGGTTAAATTCAGCCCATGTTAGTTTTCTATCAAAAGACAACAATAATCTAGTGAAAAGTCCATTCCAAATTTGGATCAAATATAGGAAACTTTTTGAATCCCCACGTCAGCCAATCTGTTAAAAACAACAACAACGAAACTATATATATATATAAATAAAAAACCTAACTTTTTCTTCAATGACAAACAAAAGACTGATCTTTACCACGAAAACAAGCACTAAATAGACAATGAAAAGAAAAGACATTAAAATATTACCTAATTTAAGAGTTTAATATATCTTTTGCCTTTTTAGTATAATGAAAATATTGTTATAACTTCTCTACCTAAATATAATTTATAGCCAACCTTATACTATTTGACATTAGAATAAAACAGTCCTTACATTAATTTTTTTCATTAATTTGAATAACTTATGTTAGTTGACTAATGTCCGACTAATCTAATGTCAACATGTGTCATTTTAAAGATAAAAGCATAATTTTTTTATTCAGTTTTTTTTTTCAATTTTTTTAAATTGGTGTGGGTCATTTTTTATTTCCAGTTGAAGTTATTATTCATTCTTGAAACTTTTCCGTCCTTCCTCTCTAATCCATATTCCTTGTTGTCAAAAATAGAACCCAACGAACTTGATTTCAAGTTTTTTGCGGGATAATTGATTTATTGCTTGATGGACTTTGAAGCCACTTTTTTCTAGATTGTGCATCAAGTAGATCAATATACATCTAGGCAGTGTTTTTATCTTATGAGTTTTTAAGATTTTGGGGTCATCTTTAAGATATTCCAATGACGAGAGAATTTGAAAGTGGATTTTAGCTAGTTTAGTATGGGTTAGGGTATGGTGGTAGTGTTTAGGACAAGAAGGAGAAGGAGGAAGAAGAAGAATAAAAGAAAAAAGAAATAGATGTTATGAAATAATGAATGTCCATCATCATGTTCATCCACTTTTCATATCCCCATTACTCATGATTCTTAATATGATTCAATTCATCATTCAATATGAGAAATTGAAAGGGTGATGCAATTGATTATTCATAGTCCTTTCTAATTCTCTTCTCAATTTTGAAGCCTATAAATAGGCTTGATTGTTCATTAGTTGGTGTACAAGTTTCCTAGAGAGAATAAGAGAAACTTTGAAGTTCTTATCACTTATATTCATATTATAGTGATTTCATTTTCTTGTCATCCTTTTCTTCAATTCTCCTATTATTTCTATTTATTTTATAACACGTTATCGGCACGAAGTTCTAACCAATCGAGATAATAAACTATGAGGTATGTATCTACCAAAACACTTAATCAATTATTTCAACCATTGGATTTCTTTTGCACAAGTGCTCTACCGATTGGATCTAAATTATTATTTAGATCATTAAGAGGTATGTATCTAATTTATTATGTATTTTAAATTTAATGATACATAGAATATATATTTGAAAAATTTTAATAATTTAATATATAGAATGTAATAATTTAATATATATTATTTGAAAAGTTCAAATTTTATTATTATATTTATTTTTATTTAAATTTTATTATTATATTTTATCTTTATTTCCTAACATTATTATTATACTTTGCATTATACAATTTTAATGATATCTTATCAACCATCACAAAACTTGATTTTGTGACCCTTGACATTTTGGGCAAGAATTATTGATCATGAGTGCTTGATGCTAAGTTAATATCATCTACTTTTCATGCCTCGAATATGCTCCTGCAGATAGCATATCAAGATCATCTACTTTTCATGCCTCGAATATGCTTCGCAGTAGCATATCAAGAAAAAGAGTTTAAGAAATATTATGAATCAATTTCATATTTGCTCATGGCTAAATAAAATGAAAAGCTATTGATGAAAAAGAATAAATCTCATCCAATTGGATCTATTCCATTCCCCGAAGTGAATGTGACAATTTATAATAATTTTAGACATGGATGAAGATGTAGTCATAGCCATGGATGTTGTCAAAATAATTATCATTATAATTGTGATGACTATAATATTACATCTTACCACCGAAGTGGATAACTATGAAAAAGAAAAGAAAAGAATGAAAATAGATAAAGTCAATATTCCGAATATGAATGTTATAAATATGGTATGAATGGACATTAGTCGTGTACCTGTCGTACACCAAAGCACCTCATCAAGCCTTGTCAAAGCTCGTTGAAAAAAATATATATGTTATTATCCGAAAGGATAAATTTATTATGAATGATGTGTTATTCTCTTCAAAGTCTTATAGAAATTTGTTAAGTTTCAAAGATACTCATCCGATTTGATATCATATCAAGATAGCAAATGTGAATACTTATATGTTATAATCATTATATCGGGTAGAAAATATCTATCAAAAAATTTATCTGTTTTCTCTTCTAGTATTTATTACGGACATTGAAATGATTGAAACAAATATTATAGTAAACCGAAGTTTATTAATTCAAATACTTTTATTATGTGACATGACCAGTTGTGCTATCTTGGGTCTTTCATGATGCGAAAAATTATTAAAAATTCATATGGATATCTATTGAAGAGCCAGGAGATTCTTCAATTTAATAAACTTTCATGTGCTTGCATGTTGCCAAGGAAAATTGATGATTAAGCCATCATCAAGTAAAATTGAGATTGAATCTTCGGTATTTTAGAATGTATTCAAGGTGATATATGTGGATCAATTCATCCACCATGTGGACCATTTAAATATTTTATGATTTTGATAAATGCATCCACAATATGGTCATATATATGCTTATTATCTACTCGAAACTCGACGTTTTCGAGATTGCTAGCAAATAATTTGATTTCTAGCATAATTTTTAAATTATGCCATTAAAACAAGTCACCTTGATAATGCTTGATGAATTTATTTCTCAAGCATTAAATTATTATTGATTGGCTATTAAAATAAAGGTTGAACATGTTGTTGCTCATGTTCATACTAAAAAAGGTTTAGCAAAATCATTTGTCAAAAGGCTCAAATTGATAGCTAAACCGTTATTTAAAAATAAAACTCTCTGTTTATGTTTGAGGACATGCAATCTTACATGCAACAACACTTATTCGCATATGACCCATGAGTTATCGAAATTCTCTCCTCTTTAATTGATTTATGGTCATGAGCCAATTATTTATTGTTTAAGAATTTTTAGCATTACGGTGTATATCCTTAGTGCTCCTCTATAATGAAATAAAATGAGCACTTAAAAGAGATTGAGAATATATGAATCCTCTTCGATAATTCAATCTCTTGATTCATGAACAAGAGGAAATTTTTACGGCTCGATTTATCGATTGTCATTTTGATGAAATAGTTTTTTCAACATTAGGGGAGAGAATAAGCAAAATAAGCAATTGAAAATGTTGAAAAAAAAGATTATATGGAGTACTCTATCTTATATCATCTTGATTCTTGTAGAAGATAATGTGAACTAGAAGTTCAAAAGATAATTCATGTACAAAATATTGAAACCAACTGCCAAATGCATTCTCGGATATTAAATGAGTAACTAAAATGCATGTCCTCGCCGAGAATGCTCCTATTATAATTAATGTCCCGGAAAGATAATCTATTAATATTATAGCTAGCGAATTTAAAGCACGCCCGAAGCGTAGAAGATCGATCGGTTCTAAAGATAAAAATCCCTAAAAGAAAAGGGCAAGATGAAAATATTTACAAAATGGTCCAATATATTTCGATCATAGGCTTCGGAAGAAGTCCAAATACTTGAGAAAAATCAAGAGATTTTGATAAATTATATTAATGCGAGGAGAAAATAGGATTGAAAAGAAATATCTATTGATAAGACTTTTGCATATAATATTGCAATTGATATTATGGATGAAAATAAGGATCCCGAGCCTAAATTATTGAAGAATATCGGCATAAAGATGATTGGCCTAAATGAAAAAAGCAATCTAGGCAGAATTATGTTCTCTTATAAAAGAGTAGTTTTTTTAAACACATAGCTAAAACACTCGAAGATGTTAAGCTAGTGGGATACAAATATGTATTTATGAGAAAATGAAATAAGAAAGATGAGATTATAAGATATAAAGCAAAACTTTTAACACAAAAGTTTTCATAAAGAATTGACATTGACTATGAGGAAAGATATTCTCCTATAGTGGATGCAATTGATCGTTGTTATCTCATTAGCGTAAAAAAATATATGAAAAACATTCATATGCATGCATTTAATGAATGTGATCACAGTTTATTTGTTTATTTGAAATGAAATAAGTATGAAAGTCCTAGAAGGACTTGACATACCGAAGCATGTGATACATATTCTCGAGATAAGAATTCAATTAAATTATAGAGATCTCTATTAGGATTATTTTACTATTTGTTTTATTATTTTGGTTTTTAGAAATTCAATTTATACTTTTTATATTTTATTTTTATATCTTCTTTTTATTACTAACCCGTGTGCATATGATATAATCACTTCAATGATTATTTGTTGAAAGAAAGTTATATAAAAAATAACCCTATTTGTTCATATGTTTTTATTTGAAAAGGGGTTTGTTTTATATGTTGATAACCTAAATATTATTGGAACTCCCGAAGAGATTCCAAGTGTTATAAGTCACCTAAAAAGAGAATTTGATGTGAATATATTAGAAAAATAAAATGTTATCTCGACTGCTAGTTCGAGCACTCGGAAAATGAGATTTTCATTCATTAGTCAATTTATATCGAAAAAGGTTCTACAATGATTCTATATAAAGATCATTCATTGACTAGCCCAATGGTAGTTCATTCACTTGATATCCAAAAAGGCCCTTTTTGACCTCCAAAAGATAACGAAGAACTACTTGGTCCCGAAGTACCATATTTTAGTGCTACTTGGTCCATTGA